TATATATATAAAAAACCCAAACAATTTGCAGGGCTGCACTCTGAATTTTTCAAAAAATTTTTGTTGAGGTCTCTACACATGCAGGACACAAAAATAATCTAAAAATGTAACACTTGCCTAAGCACACAGGGTCTTTTTCCCTTGCCAAGAGGGGAATGAGCTGCTGTTTAAACAGTCAAGATTATAAATTGCTATCTAAGCCACTACCACATAGTTCCCCATAACCTTCCTGCAAAGGTGAAGCTATCTGTGTATGAGACACACAGAGGAACTACTACATAGCAACAGCAACGCATATTATTCATACTAAACAATTTTAAAAAGGAGGAATACTAATGCAGTATCTACTCAAAGAAATTACGCAAAGATAAAAGGTACAAGGAAGAACTGGAACTCAAAGTTCCACAACCACCTAATACAAGTCAGTCTGGGTAAAAAAAAAAATAAAATAAAAAAAAAAGTCTCCCACAAAGCTGACAAACAGTCCTCTCTAATGCATACAATTAGTTCAGAGGTACCAATACTGACTCACCACCCTTGTTAACCATCCAAACCAGCAGTACCAGTCTCCATTTTCTTAACATCATAACAAAAGGGGAAAAATCCCAACTGTTTCTGCAGAACACAAGTATCAAAGTCCTATTCTCTGTTCATTTGAATAACTGCCTTTGTCATTCTAACACCACACGCTCCACTCTGTTTTTCTTCCTGTTTTGCTTATGCACTGCATGCTGGCTATATAGCCAGTGAACTGCCATATTAATGCTTCAAGTTTTAGACTACGGAGTGGAAAAAAACCTGGATACCATTTCCAATCTTCAGAGTTTTCTTCCAATTTAGGAAAAAAAAAAAAAAGGGCACAAAAACAGAGGCAAAAAAAGCAGATTTTCTTTGAAAAAAAGCAAATTATTTTAACTGCAAAACCATCTAGCAAGTTACACATACTGCACCAAATGTATTGTATTTATCTCTTAAATCTTAAATAACCCATTTTACTTTAAAAATAATTAAAACAACCTTCAGAACAGCAGTGGGTTGCTCTTGAATGCAGCTTATTTACTCCAGATTTTGTATGACCACCATTTTTTAAATCTTCAACAATAGATTTAATCACTAAGGTTACTGCATGTGCAATCTGTCAAGAAGTTTCAAAGAAAAGCTGTTGCAGAAAGAAAATTTGTGATGAGCATTTTTAGCTCTTTGGATAGCCCTAGCAGCACAGAAGAACAAGAGAACCCCTACATCTGGAAAACAACCACAATCTAACTGAATATAAAGGCAAGATGAGAAGTACACACAAATAAGCGAACATGATGGATGCAGTCAAACAGCATACTTAGTCACACTTAAGAACACCCCACCTTCAAAAATCTCAAATAACACTTGCATAACCATCAAACTTTCAGGGCTGCATTAATGTTGAACAAAGCAAAATATCTTATACTTAAGAACAGCTCAAAAACCTGAGATGACTGTTATGAGTTTTTAATGTAATTTCCTGCTAATTAAGAGACAAGTTATGCTTCCTCTCCTCATTCCTATATATGATAAATAAGTCTTAAGATGAAACAAAAACTGGACTGATTTCTACTGTAAGAGGCACACTTACTTTTCTAGCTCCTCCTGTGAATGTGCAAAGGTGCAGCTGGCCCCCCGTGGGCATCCTCCTCTCTGTTTCATGTCTCTGCACATGTATGTCTTGTACTTGCTGTGCTGAGGAGGCTGAGAAGGTTAAAGAAACCAGGTGAGATACGTGAATATAAGCGTGCTTCACCAAGAGTTGAACATATCCACTTATTAAAGGCATGATGTTTGACTGTTGATATTTCCTTCAATTTAAATGTTCCAGAAGTACCTATGGTGAAGTAAATGACTGGAGCAGTATTTGTATCTGGGTCTTCAACGGAACTAATAGATTGAAGAGTAGATATTTTGACAAGTAAGTCAATACCAGGTTTTAAAAACATTTTAATTCAAATTCCTTATAGGAGCTTGATTGGAACACAGCTGTATGTTTCAGGACACACTTAAGTGGACAAAATTGATATAAACTGAAAAAAACCCCAACTATGCTTAATCAGAAATTGCCAAATATTCATCATGCTTTGTGGCAGTTTATAAAAAAAACCCCACAAACTGGTTAGTTACTCTTCCTTTGCTTTTTGTTAGCTCAAGATGGCATTTGAGTATCCTACACAAAAAAAGTACACTTTTTTGAGTATCTTTATCAGAGATACTTCGAGTATCTCTGAGTTACATTTCATCAAATCCCCTTTTAACCCTCTCTCTGGACTAAAAAAAAAATTAAAATAAATAAATCTCTTCACTATCTACAAAATTATTTCTGTCAATAGCTGAGGATGCCATCTTACTGCTACACAGATCAACAGGTAGTTTTCTGTACTTCTCTTGTGTTAAGTTTTCAAAGAAACAATGACCTACTGCAGTCTTGTTGTCTGCATGTATGCCTGTTTGCCAGTCTCTAAATAAATTTTGACAGAAGGCCAGTGGTAGTCTCAAAGACATTCAAGTTCCTACAGTTTCTATAGCAGAATTAAATCAGAGGCAGAAATACCCTACCAGACTTCTCACCAAGGGAAAAGTCAACTAGTGCTTTCTGAAAAACTCAGCCAAAAGATGTAAATCTGTAAAAAGCCATCCAAAAACTGATTATTCTTTTTTTCCTCCCATCTACTGTAGCGAAAAGAGAATTTAGGAAGAGAGTACGTACACTGCACAGCCTTTTATACTGGCCACTACTGCCAGCCAGCAAAACTCTGTGCAACACTCAGCAGATGGCCCCTTTTCCACTTGGGAGGCTTTGGGTTTCCTTCCAAGTGGCACAGCATGTACCAGGTCTCAGCAATGGTCTCAGCAGAACAAAAACCCTTACTGTTTTTCCCACCCTGATTTCCACTTGTGTATTCCTACTGCTTTTCCTTTTGCTGGTTAACAGTGTTCATTACGCGTCCCAGTGAATAAAAAAGGTAAGCCAGCAGAAATAATTCACTATGATTTTGCTTCTTTGCAGATGTAATCTTTCTATTAGTTGAGCTCCCCGAACTAGCTCTCCATGAGCAGCAGCGCCAAAGCAAGGGAGGGAGTATGAATGTGTGACAGGCAACTCTGTCAGCAGCAGCTAGCATTTAGATCAACTTAGCTATAAAATGAAATGAGATCAAGGGAACATGTGGTAAGATAACTCTGATATAAGCTAATATACATATTTGACATCATCATTTTGTTTCTGAAAACATTTGTTTCAGAAAGTTGGACTGCACCTTTATATGAAGTCTTCCCAAATCTTTATTTTACAGATCAGTAAGGTATGAGAAGGTATAAGAATAATTTCCTTTAGAGCCATCTGGCTGAAATGTGTCACATTAAAACAAACCCAAGAAAATTCCCACAGATCACAGTTCTATGCACCCTGGCTTCTCTTCCCCATCCTCTAGTCAGGAGAGTTGTTTATTCATCCCCCTAAGCTTGCAGCTGGATCAGACTATTTTCTTTTCATCCTAGTGAGTTGTGCAAATTAATGCAGCAGATACTGGTGAGAGCACTGTCTCAGTTTGGTTTTGTTTGGGTTTTTTTTCCCCTTTGTTTCTTTTTTTGGTATTGTTCAGCAGTAATGTTTTTAATCAGCTCCTCATCAAAACAAATCTCTCCAGATGACATTAGAAAACATCTACTATTGAACACAGCCAGTAAAATTTAGGGCTAAACACTTCCTAAATCATTTAGCTTTTACCTGTTGCTGATCTGTTCCTTTCTTGCTATGATTCTGGATATAATCAACTAAGCCATGAACCACTGTCCTCACAGCAACTAGTCCATTTTTCAGTTGTTCCCATGTTGGAGGTGGAGCATCTATTGCATTGACAGCCAAGAGAGAATATGAAAAGTCAAAAGGATTTTCCAAAACCAGAAACAAAGAAAGTAAAAACATTTTATCAAAAAACATGTAATGACATAAAAAGCATTCAGCACTAATTCAGGCATATGTACCACTTAAATGATAAAGCTACCTATAGACTCTAGATCAAACCACACCAAACAACAAATGAGGCAGCAAGATGATCATTGTCATGTCAAACTATTTCCTTTCACCAAAACTTTCATATCTCACAAGAACTCCAGAGTAAACGCATTGTACAAACTCCACATACAATGAAAGGGGAAGAAACACCCCCCCAGACAAACTCCACAAAATAGGAAAAAAAATAAAAATAAAAAAAAAAAAAGGAAAAAGCAACCTCACAACCAACCAACCAACCCCAGCCCAACAAAAATCAAAACAAAAAACCCCACAAACAACAAAATAAACCAGGCTGAAAACCCCCTCTTTGCATTCAGACTCCTGTAGGTAAAGTCAGTCTTGTTCAAATACCATCACTGGCCTAGACCTTGTAGGCACAGTCACTGAATAGCAACAGAAATTGATGCCTCTCACATGGAAAAATGTCACAAGCAAATCTATTTATCAGGCCACCATCTAACATACAGTAGTGTGAACAAATTGCACAGTCTTAATTCTATAGGGGCATTTGTTTTTCTAGCCAATTTACTTTTCTAATTGTTAAATCTGTTCCAGCAGATGACACTCCCACCGTGTGCCTACACACTGCTGCTAAACACAGGACCTCAAAGTGCCTTTCAAGATCTTCAGTATAATTACATTCTATCCTGCTCACAAGGACTACCTTGTTCCAGAGGAACTTCAGCACACCTATGGAACAGCAGGGAAGCAACAAGACAGCAAGTAAGAGAAACATCAAGAGCAGACTTGCCTACTGGAACCGAGTGAGGCTATTAGTGATTCTACTTTATCTATCAGTCTTTGTCTTAACAGATTTACAGTACACACACAGTTTTGACCCTGACTTGTTACAGTATGAAAGATTTGGGTAGAAAGGACTACACCTCCTTTAACTGTAAAGTACAACTGGTCCTTATTTGAAAGGTAAGGGTTTTTTTTCCTGTTTAAACAAACAGAAACTAAGAACTACAACTTTTATTCTCCTGAAGCCATTATTTAAGCCTTCACGCTATTCTGACAGAATTTTTAAAATCAATATTAATAAGAGGTACAAACCAAGATTTCTGCCACAGCACTCTCCATTCTGTCCCTTCCTTTCTCCCTCTGGTGATCCATCCTCACGGTGCTGCTTTTCCAAAATTTCCATTTTTCTCTCCTCTAACAACATCCTAAATTTTATTTCCCCATTACATTGTCTCCAACTAAAGTCCCCTTTCCAGACTGTCTTTCACACCTTTTCAGAATTACGTATTAACAAGAAAAATACTAAAATCTCTAGGGTAACAAATATTTTCTTGACTAGATTCATTTTTTTGCCCAGCTTCTGTCTATTCAATCTATCAAAGTTCTAGTCTGGAATCCAAAACTGTTTACAGAGAAGACGCCTTATGATTTTAGGCTGCTTTTAAGAAAGCCTTCCAAGTGCAATGTTTGCAGGCTAGAGACCTTCAATTAAAAAGTAACACACAGAATTCCCGGAACAAAGATCAAGACAAAAATATTAGGTAAGTTAATGGAAACCCTTCATCTGGTAAGTGGTTTCTTGAAGGCTTCCCCTAGTTTGTAAACTAATTATTTGCTCTGGTAAAGAACTGGAGAGATAAAGATATCTTGGAGTGACAGTTAAGACTCTGAATTGTCAACAGTGGTTCTATCAATCTTCCTGTTGCTTTTCAAACCTCATTTCAAATAGCAGCATGTGTACTAAAAAAAGGGGAAAAGGAAGAAGCTAAGATTGCCGCTACCCCTCCCCAGTCAGCATTGCCCAATATCAAGTGTACACCATGCAACTTCACAGGATTACATGTATTGTCTCTAAACTGGAGAGACATCAATTTGATGGATGGACCACTCAATGGATAAAGAACTGGCTGGATGGCCACATGCAAAGAGTTGCGGTAAACGGCTCAATGTCCAGCTGCAGACCAGTAACGAGTGGTGTCCCTCAGGGATCGGTGTTGGGACCTGTGTTGTTCAACATCTTTGTCAGTGACACGGACAGTGGGATTGAGTGCGCTCTCAGCAAGTTTGCCACCAACACCAAGCTGTGTGGCTCGGTTGATATGCTGGAGGGAAGGGATACCATCCAGAGGGACCTGGACACGCTTGTGAGGTGGGCTGATGCCAACCTTAAGAAGTTTAACCAAGCCAAGTGCAAGGTCCTACACCTGGGTTGGCACAACCCCAGGCACAGCTACAGGTTGGGGGGAAAAGAGATTCAGAGCAGCCCTGCGGAGAAGGACTTGGGGGTGTTGGCTGATGAGAAGCTTGACATGAGCTGGCTTCAGTGTGCGCTTGCAGCCCAGAAAGCCAACCGTATCCTGGGCTGTATCAAAAGAAGCATGACCAGCAGGTCGAAGAAGGTGATCCTGCCCCTCTACTCTGCTCCTGTGAGACCTCACTTGGAGTATTGTGTCCAGTTCTGGTGTCCTCTACATAAAAAAGACATGGAGCCGCTGGAACAGGTCCAGAGGAGTGCCACGAGGATGATAAGAGGACTGGAGCACCTCCCGTATGAAGACCGGCTGAGAAAGTTGGGGCTGTTCAGCCTGGAGAAGAGAAGGCTGCGTGGAGGCCTCCTCGCAGCCTTCCCGGATTT